AAGTCAGAATTCTGAGATTAAAGTCAGAATTCTGAGAAAAAAGTCAGAATGTTAAACTGAAATAAAATTAAAAAATCAGTTAACTTATTTTTTTTTTTTCAGTGGCCCTAATCCTCTTCCGTAGAAACAGAATGGGGGGAGTTGGTCTCCAAAATAAAATGTGCATAAACTGGACTATCAATATGACTGCGTGTTGTTTGTGAGCATATAGTGAAGGATTCTTGTTGCTTTTAAAAGTAAAAGAAAAGAAAAAAACAGCATCAACCGACACCATCAGATAAAGTCCATGCTGATTATCCTACAAAATGATTATGACCCAAAACAAACCGGTGTTTGTGGCTGGGTACCATAGAAGTGTAAAATCCTTGGCCTAGTCAAATCCCAGATCTTGATCTTATCAAAGATGCAGATGGGGGATTTAAAACAGGATGAGGAAGAAGGATCTGGAATATTTCATTGCTGGAGGAGAGGAGTGAGGGAAAACCTTTCCTCGGATCACGGTCAGAGGCTGGTGGACGGCTACAAGAAGCCTCCCGCTGAGATTATTTCAACCAAAGTCAGAAACAGGAGTTCACAGTAGAAAGGTTGTCCCAACACGACTGCTTTAGAGCCTAAATTTAATTTAATCAGAATTCAGCATGTGAGCATTTCTTAAGAGAACAAAGATCATTTAACCCTTTAAAATGGAGTCCCCCCTGTCTTTCAGTGAGGTCTAGAAGCACAAGATCTATATCCAGTCATTCAGCAAAGATTCTTCTACATGGCTGTCTTATTTTGGCATTTGACCAATTAGATAAGCCCTTGAATGATATATTACCTACTGTAGATTAATTTGAAAGAAAAAAGGGAATAATTCAAGAAAAAAAAGGTAAAAAACCTAAGAGAAAAGTTAAAAAGTAAAGTTTAAAAATGATTATTTTAAGGTTTATAATCAAAAAATGTAAGTGCAAGTATCAGCATTAAAGTCTCTAAGCTTATGTTGTACCAAGAAATTTTTTTCTTTTAGTCTCAGTGTTTTTCATTAATTTTTATTAGAAGCACTTTTGTTATTTTTCTTAATATATTCCGGCAAGTTAGTGTTTCTTGTTATTACATTGACTTTAATTTTTGACATGAAAATATTGTTAAAATGAGGAAGTTATGTCCCTTTAAAAAGCCGTTGCGCTTCGGGGGCTTGAATCTTTTCCTGGGAGCAAGTTATTTACTACTCTTAACTCAAATTGAGTAAAACCATATAAAAAGGACTATAAAACAGCAGTAAAAAAAATAACAGAGTTTATTCCAGATCAGGTCGTTACAGGCAGAGAAGTACAAATACTTCGTTACTGTACTCAAGTAGATTTTTCGGATATTTTTACTTTACTTTACTA